AGCAAACAAGGATTCTATTTCAACATCTCGCCTAAACACTCAGAACCTAGATTTCTTTGATCTTGATACATCCGAACCGATCAAATTACACCTTTAAACTCCATAAACATCAAAGCACCTGCCCATAAAGTTTTAGCCCTAGATTCCCCTATTTGTCCATCCATCAAACAAAGATTCTATTCTATCATCCTATTGACCCAAATTCCTACGACCTTGACCCTCCAAAGATAGATGAGACCTCACCATCAGATATCAGACACTCTAAATAACCTCCTATGAAATCTCAACCCAAAATACCTTCGTTCACCCATCAATTGCACCAATATTCCATTTTAAGGTCTTAAATTGATTAGATTCCAAATCCGCCCAATCCAGGTCCATTTGGCACAATCTAACCTTACCAATCACCTCAAACTACCTAGAAATCTTACCCTGTGAAATTTCATCCAAAATAGAGATGTAAATTGGGTCATGCCACCTGCGGCCCGGCAAGATGATCCGTGTCGTACTAGGTCGGGGTTCGTAGTCCACGGGCCGACACGACGTAACCCATGTGTCAACACGGCCTAGCCCGTAGCACAGCCCATCATGGGCTGACACTACACGGCTCACTGGGCTCAAAGTGGTTCACGCTTGGCCCGTTCAAAAGCCAGTTTTAGCTTTTTAGGGGTTTTTTACATAAATACCCCCCTTAACAGCTATAAACAACTATATAGAAGGGTATTTATGTATTTTGCTTATGAAGGGAAGAAAAAATGACACAAATGCCCCCCAAGAACTATATAACAACTAGTTTAGGGGGCTTTTTGGATAAAGTTATAAATAACTTTACAATGAGCAAAATACCCCTCCCAACAACTAAAATACATCTAGTTTTTAAGGTATTTTGGGCAATTGAATTATGTTCAATTCCTATAAATAGCCTTATCCTCCACCAATCTCATCACACCAATTCAACAATTGTCTTAATCTCTTCTCTCTTTCTCTCTCATACTCATACATTCTTTGCAATCTGAGTAACTCTGATTGGCTGATTGTCTGATTCTCCAATTCTTAAGTCTTAACTTTATTGAAGTTTCAACAAGAAGGCTTGCTCAAGTATCTCAAGTTAGCAATTTGGGAGGATTGGACGTTGAAAGGCCTTAACTGTTGAAATGAAGTTGGGATTCTGAACCGGCAAGCCGAGTAAATCCAATTAAATTAATCTTATCTTTTTAGAATTTAAAAAAAAAGGTCTCAACATATTCACTATTGACGATATTCAATCGCATCATGATAGTATTAGCACTGATGCTATTGATATTAATGAAAGTAGAACTTTCACCCTTGGTACTGATACTAAGGGAAAAAAAAAGAGGGCCGCTAAGTTGAATAGCCTGGTTTTTAAAGTAGATATCGAGGGAAGGGAAAAAGAGCAGTTTGCTAAAAATGTAAAAAAGACTTTAGCTATTATAGCAAGGGTGGTATTGGCCATTTGAGCAAACATTTACTCACACATGAGAAGGAAGAAAAAGAAAAAGGAGAAAAACAACACAAACACAAATTGGGTGGGGGAGTTTTGGTACATTTAAATACTCACAAGAAAAAGTGAGACAAGAATTAGCAAAATATAATGTACATGCAGAATAACCATTTATGTTAGCTGAAAATACAAAGCTTGAAAAATGGTTGCGCAATTCTATAAATCCACAATATAAAAAAGTTTCTAGGAATACTATTAAATCGGATGCTTTAAAAATTTTTTATTCATATAAACAAAATTTAATTTATTTGTTATTAAATCTTAATTCTGAAGTTGCAATTACTTTTGATGTTGGACATCTAAATTAAACATAAATTATATTTGTATTACAAGCCATTTTATTGATGAAAAATGACTTTTAAATAAAAGAATTTTAAGTTTTACTAGGCTTGAATGACCATATACTGGTCAAGCTATTGCTGCAAACATTTTAAATACTTTATATGCTTATGGTCTATTAGTTTTGATAATGCCAACAATAATGATTCTGCAATAAATATTTTAGAATTTCATTTAAAACCATGTTTAAATGGTAAATTGTTTCATATCAGATGTGCACGTCACATCTTAAATTTATGTATTCAAGATGCCTTGAATATTATTTCTACTCATATTTCAAAATAGAAATTGTATTATATATATTAAAAGTTCAAGGACAAGACAACAAAAATTTAAATATTTATGGCAAAATTATAGTTTAAAATATAAACATTTTATATTAGATGTAAAACATAGGTGGAATTCTAACTATGCTATGTTAGAAAGTTGTATTTCTCATAAACAAATTCTTATTGATTTTTATAATGCAAAAATGCCTAATGATATTATATTTGAGGAAGATTGGAAAATGGCAATTTGTATAAGAGATTTTTTAAAATGTTTTTATGATGCAACTAATGAATTATCAGATATTTATTATCCAACTAGTTGTAATTTACCTTATCAATTAATGGTAATTAGTGATTGTTTTGCAAAATATAGAAATAATCCACAATTTAAATGTATTATTGAAATAATGGAAAATAAATTTAAAAAATATTGGAAGAACATTTCTCCCCTTTATTGTTTAGTCACAATATTAGACCCTAGGATTAGGAAATATGGTTTTTTTACTTGAAACATATTGTGGAAATATGGATATTGAAATTGGAAATAAAAAAGAAAAAATTAATCTGTTATTTGAAATGTACGTTTTATATGAATCTAAAACAATAGAAAATATTCCTACAACTTGTACAACATCTTCTACTTCTGATCTTAAGCTCAGTAGTAGAAGAGAAAAACTTATTTATTTAATAAGTAGACGGCAGAAATATGCTACTTCTACAACAAATTCATTTACTAAACTTAATTTTTATTTACAAGCAAATTTTCTAGTTTAGGTGAATGAATAAATAATTTTGATATTTTAGCCTAGTGGAGTGAACATTCAAAAAATTATCCAGTTCTTGCCGCCATGGCACATGACCTCTTTGTTGTCTATAGTTTCATCGAAGTCTTGTTTTAGTGCAGGTACCAAGGTGTTAGACGACAAGAGAAATTGCATGAACAATGAAAGTATAGAGATGTGCATCTACTTTAAGGATTTGCTAGATGCAGAAGATAGATTACAAGACAAAGGAAGGCATGATACTACACCGGGTATTTCACCTGATGATGAAAGTCATGATTCATGAAGTTGACTATTTCTATAGAAATTTTTTATTTTTTAAAAATTATTGTAAATTTATTTAATTTATTTGCTATTTCTTTAACAATATAATTTTGTATTTTCAATTTGTAACTATATTGTATTTTTTATTTTTTATTAATTTATTCCATTTTCATATTTCATTCATCTAAGTATCCAATGATCCAATTATTGTATTTGTAATTTGTATCTTTCAAATTTAAATAAAATAAAATTCTTATTTTTCTTCCAATTTGTTATTCCATCATTCTTATTTGGTTAAGTGTTTTTTTTTCATTTATGTGTTACATAACTTAGATTTCTCATTTCTCATTTTTTAATTTTTCAAATAATTCTCAAAGTTCAAAGGAAAGTTAAATATTTTAGTTTTACACTTTTACTTAGAAAAGAAATCAAACATTTCAAAAAAAAAGTCAAAAAAATCAGTCTAGCCCGATTCAGCCTAGGCCCAAGGCCCACCCTGTGGCCCAGCCCGGCACAACCCAAGCTCACGGCATGGCCTGCAGCTCGGCACAGGCCTAGGCTATGGGCCATGCTGGGTCGAACCCCAAAATTTTCATCGGGGAGGGCAACATGGTCAATGACGGCCCATAGGCCACACGACACAACCCACTTTATACCTTTAATCCAAAACAGACCTTGTTTGCCCCTCGATCACACAAAGATTTCGTTTCAAGGCCCCAAATTAACCGAATCGAACCTGATGTCGTGCAATCTGCTTGCTCCCTCGTGTACTATGATTCGGACTCTGACTGGATATTAATCTAGCTGGGCCGAGTTGATGTTTGAGTGCCCGAGCTAAGTGAGTTGCAAGGGAAGAAAGGTGAGAGTGTCCAAGTAGTTTTTACCCAAGGAGAACACTCTGATGCTTAAGTCAGTAAGGAAATGTAGAGTTCTTATGAGAGTGCGAGAGAGCTTAAGAGTATCAATGCGCATACCTCCCTAGGTGAATTTGGGCTCTTTTTATAGTCACTAGGGGCTCAAGACATTTTGGTAATGTTCTTGAGCTTCTGGCAGAGTTGTTTTCGAAATATAAGGTGCATCAATGTGTTGGTTACGAGATCCATGTGGTGGTTAGAGTTTGTTCGCTTAGATTGTGGCGCACGGTACGGAGAGCTACTCCAACGATTGCGATATTGGCGCCTTCAGTAGCAGGGTGGGAGAGCGATTAGACGAGCTCACCTTATGGGTTGCCTTAGCTCACCTCAGCTCGACTGACTTCTTGGCCAAGTCGCTCGCGACTTTAGGGGTCCTGCCAACTCGCCCTTGCCAAGATCGAGATCGGTCTGTGCAAGGTGCTCCGAGCTAACCTGTCGAGTTGGTCTGCTGGCTTGGCGTTGCATTGTCAATAATAGCCACGTGTCGTCATTTGTATGGAAGGACTAAATTACCCTTTATTAGAACCCTTTCTAGATATGACCAATTCGGGCTCAGTTGGGCCAATCGGATCCTACCAATCAACCTAGAATGCCCAAAAACCTCATATTGCCAAATTTCAGCCAAAAATACCATCATTTACCCTTCCATCTAAAAAATCCCGTTTCATCAATCTCATTGGCCCACTCACACAAAACCCTTCTCAGACCCATCTCAATCAACCCTCCACTTTTTTTTTATCCGAAACCATTCACCATTGGACCAGAACCCCGGTTCAACCCCAGGACCCGGTTTGACCCAATTACAGAGAATTACTAAAATGCCCCCGAATTACTCAAAACTACGAAAATGCCCCTGATGCTCACTATAAATTCAACCTAAGCTGCGGCGGCTCCCGCTTCTGATTTCCCTCTCCGCTCTCTTCTCTTTCTCTTCCTCTCTCTTTTTTTTTTCTTCTTCTACCTCTTCTCCGTTTTTTTTCTCCTCCATCATCACTTAACCAGACCACTGTTCATCTTCTTCTCTACCGAAGGTGAACCAGCGGTGGCCGTTTTAGTTTCTCCCCCGGTGATCTCACTCCTCTCGTTCTTCCTATCTCTTTATCTCCTTGGTACCTTCTTTTCACTTTTCATTTCCTCCTCCATCAGGTTTCAGTCACGTTTCTCCACTATTCATCGCCCCTTTCGGTGAGAACAGAGGAGTTGCAGCGACGCAACTCCACCCCTATCCCCATTCAATTCTAGAAGAAACCCAACCTCTTCCGTCTTATTTCTTCCTCTCGTATTCTTTCTTTTCGCCCTACTGCCGTTCTTTCGCCATCCTAATCATCAGTAGAACTCTTGCCCCGTGATCTCTACATTGGGACTGGACAGATTACCGGGCAGTGATCGGAAAATCCACCATTGCTTAGAGAGACTGGACCTGGAAATTCGGCTCGTTATTACCAGCCTTCACGTTACCAGTCGCGGAGTCCATCCCTGTGCAAAGGCGAGCAACCCGAAGAGAGAAGTCCGTTGAAATCCCGCCTCTGTTCTCCACCTTTTCAGATCGAGATTCCCCCTGTTCGATCAATTAAACTTGAGCCAGTATCCAATCAGGCAAAAAATTCAATCCCAGCTAATCATTCTTTTCTCATCAAACTTCCGGTCTCAAGCATCAGTCGCCAACATCATACAGGGAAAGAAATCAGAAACAATAAATACTCTAGTCTTCTGTTGCTATATTTCATCGCAGGCCACATCCAATTTGGTAATGTTTTCCACCTGAAAATATTTCTGATAACGAAGATATAAGTCTCGTTTTGTTTTTGTTCTAACAATCATTGAAGGATGGGTTCTGTATAAATGATGTAACTGGTAAATCACATACTCTTGTATCTTTTCCCTGTAGTCGATTCACTATGGTATTTCTATGTCCTGTCTAGGAATTTGTCCGAAGATCGGATTTGCTGTGTTCTGTTAGTTGATGTTTATATGGAATTTTGTTTTGCTGAAGCTCCAATACTCAAATGAATGGATATGCTAGAATTGAATTGCCTATTTGAATTAGCCTCTGGATAATAATAAAGCTTATTATTATTATTGTTATTGTTATTATTGTTGTTGTTGTTGTTGTTATTATTTTTAAAAAGAATAAACATAAAAGGAGAGAAAAATAAAACAAAGATAATATAAAAAGGAAAGTATAAAAGTCTATAACATTAGATTTGTCAGATTTGAATGTTTAGTTTGATAGATGGGGAATGTTTATAGAATAGGGATTAGCCGGTAAAGAAAGTGATGACAAAGTAATAATAAAAAATATAGTACAAAAAATTTAGGATAAAACAGAATAAATAAGTGACAAATCCAATGAATAATCAATAAATAAACATAACATAAGGTTTCAAGAAAATAACTGAAAATGGCAAAAATAATTGATAAAATATAACAAGAAAATGAAATAATAAAAATAAAAATGAAAGTAAAATAAAAAGATAAATAAAATAGGGAAGATTTTCTTTGTTTTGTATTGTTCTTGTGATTTGCTTTCTTTCTTGTTGCTTTGTTTAAATAATAGTCATTTTTTGTGTTTATGCTTGTTTGGGAATTTCATGTGGGTCCCACCTATTGGATCTGGGAGAGGGGTTTCTAACCCTTTCCCTCTCCCATCCAAGTCTTACCTGGACTGGTTTAGCCGGTGCCTCGGGCTATTGGAGTCACTATTAAAACAAACGGTTTCAAAATAATTCTCAGAGGTCCCATCACCTCATTTTTGTTTACTTGATGGGTGGCAATTCCATTTCCAGCCCAAGTGAACTGTTTCCTGATGCTTACAGACTGGCGACTCCACTGGGGAGACCTACTTGGACCAATAGGTGGGGCCCGCATGGGGTACCCAAGTTGCTTATTTCTTTTTGAATAAAGTTAGCTTTGTTTTGCTAGTCTTTTACTTACATACTGTAGTTTGATTGCTTTATCTTAGTTCTCTTGTTTCTTTGTTTTTTTCTTACTATTTTGCTAACATGCTTAGCTTTAGGTTAGATCTTTTTGGATTGATATTTAGGTTTCTTGTTGTTTGCATCTTCTAGTTTGAGCATGTTTGTCTCATTGTTTGCATTTATTGGGTTGTTGAGAATTGTGGGTTTTTAGGATATTTGCTAGAATGGATGCATGCTTATTTCCCTCATACAATAGTTGTTAGTTTACTTCCTTTCCGTTCTCCTTTGCCAATAAAATCTATTTCCTCTTCATTTCTAATAATGGTTTCTTGGAGGAAATCTTAGTTAGTAGAATAAGTTGGATGAGCAAAACAATAGATTGAGATATTGGTACTTCAAACATTTCTTTCTTGTGGATCAAATCTCACATCATCCAAGGGTGCTTTCATGCCTATGCTCTTAAGATAACATGGAAAATTGCAATCTGAATGAGCTAGGAAGTGCTGAAATACATCTTAAAGACCCCATTTTGAGTTTGGTATTCTTGGATTTCTTTATTTAATGATTGTTGGAGGCTATCCAAAAGGTAAGATTCTTCCTCACACTTCATTTTCTTTGAATGCTTCACCATAAAATCAAGTGGTCACGGAATTCTGTGCACGCTGCTGCACACTGATTCTTGGTCTAATTGATCTACTAGGTGGAGCCCATGGTCAGTTTTATGCTCTTAGCAATGGACAGGTGGCAACTTAGTGGGACCCAAACTCCACTACTGGTACTGGTCTTGTACCTCCAGGGTCCAGATCCAACGTTAGCGCATTGTTTATTGCTGCAAATGTATCATTTATAGATGTTCTCTAGAAGGACCAAGATCCTATTGGCTCTTGCTCTTGCTACAACTACAAAGCTTAAATAACTCCGTTTCAAAAGCATAATAATGAGTATATAAAAGTTTCCTATTGACTTGGCAACCTCATTCCTCAAATCAAATGCCCATCTGAATCTTTTTCCTGCATTTTTAGGATGTGATGAATGATTGTTGACAAAGCAAGGCAACCATCAATAATTCTTTCTACTTTGGGAAATTTTCAATAAACCATGGAACATTGCAAGTGAAATTGTCTAATAAGGTGCATTACACTCCTATAAACGTACCCTTTTTATTATTTTTGTTTCGTTTGAATTTTGAAGTTTTGGGTTGAGAGTATGACATTGTACTTATCTGCGTACTTTTGTTTGCATTCTGAGGGCTGTTACTTTCCTCGATTTTGAATTGATTTACTTGTTTTGAGTATTTTTGGGTTTTTTTTTTTTGGATCTGGGTTTCTGTCTTTCTGATTTGCTATTGGCTTTTATTTTCAGCAGTTGATAAGAATTCCAAGTGTTGGACTTTGGTGGTTTCTATGCTTTTTAGAGTTCCATTCAGATTTCAGCTGATAAGGTTTCGGAGATATGCTGGTTCTTACCATGAATTCAAAGAGGCAGAGACGCCCAAATGTTAGATTGGGAGAGATAGGAGATGTTTCTACGACCTTTACTTGTTGTTTTTCTCAGAAAGCTAAGGAAAACTTAGAAGAGAAGACATGGAAACAAGAGCTGGAGAACTCTAGAAAAACTGATTTTGATCATCCCATTTGTGGGTTCTCCTTGCCAAGGTCATGGGGGTTCACATTTTTGGATCCTGGTGTATCTTCGAGGGTTTTGTCTGATACACAGCACAATAGAGAGAATAGGAACCCTAATTCTTCGAAATTGGTTTCTGAATTTGCAAGCTCGGATGAAACTAATGCAAGTAAACGAAGGTTTGATTTCGGAACTGTAACGCGGAAGGGCCGGCTCATGAAGAGGGGACGGAGCACGAGAGGTAACAATGGTGGTGTTAGCAGCGCTTGGAATTCCAAGGTTTGTCCTGAAATTAGTAATGACAATGAGAAAGAGTATAGGGGTGTTGATTTTGTTGATTCCACATCAAATCCATGCTATGACGTCTATTCTGTTGAGGGGTTCAAGGATTCATCGGACCGTGATACCTCAAATATGAGCAAAGAAGCCCATGGAAGTGAGTGCTTAGAACCTATTTCGGACTTGCAGGTAAGAGGTGATTCCGATGGGTTTTGGATAGAAGATGCTTGTAGAGATGATGGTACATTCTATTCTGATGATGGACCCTGTACGATTCCCAAAGCAGGCCGAGTGGATGACAAGATAGGAACCGGTGTTACTATTGTAGATAGTGTAAGAAGCTGGTTGGAGGAGTTGGGGTTTGGTAGGTATGCTGATATATTTGAAATGCATGAGGTAGATGAGGAAGTGCTGCCATTGCTTACATTTGAAGATCTCAAAGAGATGGGAATAAATGCTGTTGGACCCCGGCGAAAGATGTACACTGCAATTCAGCATTTAAGAGGAGGAATTTCTATTTGATAAACTACACCAAATGGGCAGGTGATCTTGCTCCTACCAGTTTTTTTGTAACAAAAACAACACATAAAATTAATCTTTGAACCTTGTTTTTTCATGATTTTTCTTTATTATGTTTTTATACTAGGTAATGACCACCCTGTTCTAAGTACAGGGCTATTATTTTTTTTTTGGTTAATCTGATTCGGGTTTCTTATTTAATTTAGGAAATTAAGTCATGTTTAATTTGTAATTGATGACTTATTTCGTTTCAAGGAATGGGACTTACATTATTGAAAGTCATTATAGGTGAGTCTTATTTGCATTAGGAACTGAATTAGAAAGGTTAGTATAGGTAGCTATGTCTCTAAAATGAGTACTTTTTCTTTTTTTTTTTTTTTGAGAGTGGAGTTAACTACTTTCACTTTTGTTTTTTTATTGAGAGTAAAAATAACCACTCTCGGGATACTCTTTCTTGAGGAGATAGGTAACCACTTGTTTGGAGTAGAAGCCCTCTAGCCTAAGGGCTCTTCTCTAGTCTATAGAAAAGCCCTCAGGTTAAAGGTTTTCTACCTGAGACAAATGGCTACTTGTCTTCTCAAATAAGAGTATCCATAGAGTGTCTCTATCAACTTTTGGAAAAAAGTGGGATTAGTTAACTCCACTCTCATAAAAAGTACTAACTTCAGACACGTGGTTACCTATAAAAAGAAATTACCCACTTCAAATGATGTGGGATCCATACTAACCTTTTTAATTCAGTTTCCTAATTCAAATAAAACTCACCATAAAGACTTCAAATGATATAAGTCCCATTCTTTCAAATGAAACAAGTCATCAGTCATGAATTAAACCTTTGATTTAATTTCCTTAATTAAATAAAAAACCCAGATCAGATTAATCTAAAAAAAGGTAATAGCTGCCTGTTACTTGGTACGGGGTGGTCATTACCTAGTATAGAACAAAACTTACCTGTCTTGGTATGTTATCTTTTGGTTGTAATTTTTATGCCAACTGAACAAAGACATTTAAATAATACTTGTTACTAATTACTAATTTTTTTCCTAGATATTTGCATCACACAGTTGTGAAGTGTTGATAAGTTAGCATCTTAATATTGATCAAAAGTAAAAAAAGATAAGCTAGCATCTTAAATAATGGCAATAGAGGGATCTTTTTGACCTTGTTTCCCCTTTTTTCTTGTATTTCTATACTAACGGGTTGATATTCTGTCTCCTGGCTTCTGGGTATCTAGGATTTCTTAATTTAAGCTCATAACTTTAACATGATTTCAGACATAATTCATAGGATAATACAAACTGTTTTTGATGAAAAGTTCATCTATGGTGTATAAAAAATGATAAGCTCTTTTTAAGTATCTAAAATGTATAAAAAATGCCCACATTCAATACACTGGAAAGTTTGAAGGGGGGAACTAGCTAATAATTTAGAATGCCTCTGTTCAGTCAAGTGTCTGTATTGTCCTTCATTAAAGTCAGATTTCAATGAGGTCTACTCTCCTTTGAATTCTAACTCTATTTGTGGATTCAACTGCACAATTTGCAATAATGTGCATTTTTTCATTCTTTTGCATATTAGCTTAGATAATTGAGCAGCCAGCTTCACACGGATGCCGGTCTCTCAGTCCTAATGATTAGCTTTTTAAACAGTTTTGAAAGGAAACATAATCCATGTAATATAACTAATTAAACCATTCTATATTGCCTGAGCTAACCTGCTTTTACTAGGGGAGGCTAGGGAAGGAAGTGATGGGGACCTGGGTGCTCTCCAATAATGCCTGCATCTATGCTTTGTTAAATTTATGGTTAGCAATCCTTGCTATGATCAATGCTTGGTTTCAGTATCCTCAAAGTGTTGGCTTCTATTCTAACACATTATGGATGTTCCATTTGTAAAATCATGCCTCCCTCCTCCTTTATGGAATCCAGAACAGATCCACTTTGTTTCCCACTTTAACATTAGCAAGGGTTGAGTATTGTATTCACTGAAAACACTATACAACATGGCCCAGCTGGTTATATGCTAGTACCCCCTAAAATGGGGACTACTTGGAAAAATTTGTTTAGACTTTGGAATTTGTTTTTTATTGTTAGGCCTTCTCATGATAAGTGTGATCTCCCCTAGAAATAGTTGGCAATACATAAAAACTTTATCCCTGTAACATGAGGACCACGTGAGCATCCAGACAAAATTGAATACTGGGTCTGCATGTAGGTGGGTATTTAAGAAAGCTGGTTTGTGACGCTTTTGTAGAAAATGTCATGGAAGTAAAATATTTAGTATTGAGTATTGGACCACAAGGGAAGGAATATGTGGCTTGATCAGAAGTATATTTGTTCTTCTAAGTGTTTTTTTTTTTTTTTTTTGGCAAATTGTAGAGCTAACACTATCTGGTCACAAGAGGTGCAGTCTCTCGGATGTATCTGCACTGAAGTCATGCAAAACTCTTTTGCTAGTTCTTTCTAGGGTACTGGCGTACTGCTATTGTAAAGAGCGTGTTTTCAGTTGTCAATCCTAACCATGTAAGGTGAGTCAAAACTGTTCCCATTTGATCATAAAATGAATGGCTGGGGATCATCATAGAGGGTTGGTTTCCCAGCTCTGTAATAGGAGGTTATGAGCTGAGCTAACTACGCAGCATGTTGGACTGTGTACATCACCCTTCTTTTGCACAGAGTTGTAGTCCAATGGTAAGTTAGTATCATGATTCCTGAATCATCATCAATACAGGCCTTGTTCGGCTACATGAATCCTGTTCTGTCTGTCATTCCTTTGTATGTAGTGCCATATCCATTGTTAAATTTTCGGTGCCTAAATTATTTCTTATGTCCCTTTCTGTTTGCCCCTAGCTCAACTAACCCCTTTAACATGGAACTGATCACTTTTTCAAACAGGTGCTAACATAATATGGCTTAAGCTGGGCAAGCTTTGTGTTTGTCATGATCTGGAACTCAAAAATAAAAAGTAAAATAAAATAAAAAGAAACTGTCCGGGTGAGGTGAGCTGGTTGGTCTGGACTGGTGCATGCTGTCATTTCAGTGCTGGTGCTCATTGTGTGGTCTTTGCTGTTGCTGCCCTTTGGACTTGGAGAGCCGGTGTGGAAGATATAGGAGGGCTAGTCTAAGGCAGGCTCCCTAGATATCAAATTATAGGCATTTGGAAGCTCGGAAAAATGATTGCATTTCGTCTTCCACGCTTTCTAGCCACTTAAAATTTTACATTTCATTATAATTATTCCAGAGAAATGTTAGCCTTCGGATACCAGCCTTCATTTCGTATTATCCACAAGTCAACAATTGCTATCATACACCAGATGTCTATCAGGTATGGGTCACCATCTACTATATACACCCCTCCATGTGGATCATAACTCCTTTATACAAGGTTCCATATACTTGGTTGATTGGTTCAAGGCATTGCCAGTAAATCTGACAAGTCTTCTCTTAGCATTTCAAAGCTTAGACCTGTTTTATGTACGCCAGAAAGGCAAAGACTCAGTGATATCATATTGTGGGCCACTATTCACTAAACGGATTTCAAATTCAATTTAAACCTGATTGTCTAAGGTAGACTCCCTGGATATCATATCATACTGTAGGCATTTCGAAGCCCCGAAACATTTATTTTTAGTGACCTAAAATTGTTCCAGATAAATATAGAGCAGCAGCAATGCTTTGGACCAGTTTTCATTTCGTATTGTTCACAAATCAAAAGTGCATCAAACACCGGCTCCAGCAGTCTATCAGGTCTGGGTGACTATCTACCACTCCATGTGGGTCCCTGACTACTTGGTGTATATTGCATTTGAAACTTGAAAGCATTCCGAGATGAAAGCGTGGGCCTTGGCTGCTTTTGGATGAAAGCATTCAAGAAAGGAAGTGTCATTTCAAAGTTCAAACCAATTTTAGAAGATAAAAGCGTGGGCCTTGGCTTCTTTCGGATGCTCGAAATTGGTTTAATTTCATGTAGTTATTACCAAGTAATAAAGCATTGGTATGGGGTATAGAATTGAACAATTTGGATATGGATACAGATAGGGAAATGCATGGATAATGAAAAATATAAAAATGTTTAGATATGCTAAGAAAATGAGTATAAATTAAATAATTATATTAATAATTTTAAGTTTAATATTAAAATAACTATAAATAATGTATAAATATATAGGAATTGTATATTTTAATAGTATATTTGAAAAAATATATTGCTATTGATATAATGGGATGCATAGATATTATATGATTTTATTGATAATGCATCAATTTTTATTTTTATTAAAATCCAAGGCACAAAAAATATGCAACCATTATATTTAAATTATTATATCAATTATTTTTATTTTACTATTTTCAATTTTTAACATCAACAAAAAACAACTAAAATTTAGTTTGCAAATGTTTAGTAAATAATACTTTCACTTTTGTAAACAATAAATATGTTTATATAAATGTAAATGAAATTTTGAAGGTGCATATCATGTGAAAATTCATAACTTTTAATTGCTAAAATAATTATTCATTATTAATATTTTTATTTTATGAATTTTTTGAAATAAAAAAATTAATTTTTATTTAAATGGGGATTAGTGGATTTGATAGATTTAATTTATATTATATTCTTAAATATTTTGTAAACAATATTTTATCTTTGTAATAATAAATACATTGTTATTTAATAAAATTAAAATATTAATTAATAATTTATAAAATAATTTATCAAGTCTACATAAATAATTCTAAGTATTAAAATAATTATTATATTAATAATATTTTTATTTTTATAAATTTATTGAAAATAAAAAATCAATTATATATATGTGGATTTGATAAATTATTTATTTTATTTTTATAAAATAATAATTTTAAATATTATTCTTGTTAATTTGTACTTGGAGTTATTTAATATACTATTTGTTTAGATTAAATGTAAGAATTAATTTTAATAAAAGATAATTTATTTCATTTATTATCATGAAATGAAAGGTGGTTTGATGGTTAAGATCCTTGCACTCTTAGATGTTATGCGACTTAGGTTTTAGGGATCGAATCACGTTAAAACCTTTTTTTTAGTAAAACACTTTTCTGTACGATGCATGGGTTCCCCTGTATCAATGCATATCGGCCAATACTTTGTGATGCGCGCTAGTATAGTGGCATATCGAATCAATACGCACGATTGATATGACACATTGTTAATCATGGTGTATCTCATATCCTTCACTACCTATATGGTATGTCTCGCATTGGGCATATCATGTTGATAGTTTAGTCCTTGGTTATTACTATTATACACCAAGACTTTTGGTTTGAATTATCTATTGGATTTCACACAACTACTTATTACCATGCTCTTTTTCTCATAGAGATATAACACGACTTAATTAGAAGTTGGAATCATAGAAAATAACCAATTAGGAGGGTGAGTCTAAAATTCGTCATCATTAGACATTCATGATCGACTGTATATGCCATTTATAAAATGTATATGAGATACATAGAATCAAAAATCGTGGCGCATAACTGGTCCACACCACACCTATAGAATGCCACTGTGCGTGTGGATTGGTTCAGCCCACATAGTTTGTCCACAATTCAGAACAGTTGTGGACTATGGTGTGGTGTGGACTAATCCATACTCACCAATTTCTCATCCACACTACAGAACACCCCTATATCGTGGATCGTCCTTGTCCATATTCCAAAATCTTGGCCACACATGTATCTCATGGATGTGGTCGGTCCACAATATTTTCACACTATTTTGATACAATACATCTATTCTAGCATCAACTCATGGATGAGTATATCGTGGATTGGGCCCGTCCACACTCTAATATAGCGTCAATGGGAAAAACTCGTGGATACGTCCCCTCCACGGTTTATTTTTTATTCCATGCTTCACAAGTGCTTGCAACTAGGAAGTGAGTGAGAGGGGGCGTTCTTCCGACTGTGACTCTTGTCTGATACCAAGGTTCAAAGTATCGGCATGTATCAKCTCGTATCGACCGACACATCATTCCAAGACCCCTCCAATGCACCCCTATAGTGGGTGTATCGAGGGTTTGACCGGTTCAGGGAGTGGAGGAGTCCTAAATTGGCCCCCCAGAACCAGTTTTGAAAAAAAATAAAAAAAAAGTAAAAAAAATGTATCAAAATGCCCGATACGCCCCTACCGGCATATCTGGCCTATCGATATTTTGAACCTTGTTTGATACTTTAATAAAAGGTTCAGGTGATGACCGTCGACTTCAGTTTTGCTCAACCAATGGAGGAAAATAGGGGGGGTCTGTAAACAGTTGGAGGAGGGTGAGAATGGTGAAGGGAGTCAGTGTAGATGATAGAGGATGGGAGAAAAAAAATAGTGTGAAATCATAAAGAAAATGGAAGGAAGATTGGGCGGATGTTGTGGCTGTGAAGTCTCCTCTATGGTTGGAGAGTAGAGTTGGATGATGGTATGAGAGCAATGCGAAGAAGAAGAAGAAGAAGAAGAAGGAGGAGAAGAGAGAATGGGGGAGGTTTTGGTTGCCACCACCACATTGTTCTCATCTAAGGAGGAAGAAGATGAATGGTGCCTCCTTCAAATTAGGTTAAACTAGAAAGTTTGGTCAGTTTTGATAATAAGGATAAGGGTAGTTTGGTAAATTTAGAGAAGTCTAAGGGTAATTTGATAATTTTGGAAATTCGAGGGTAATTTGGTTAATTGGGGCCTAAGGGGATCAAGGTCAAGTAGGGTAATTTAATTATTTTACTATTGTTTTATTAAAAGAAATAATATTTATTGGTTAATATTAATTCATTGATGCATTTTTCAAAATATGTCATATAAAATGCAAAAATTAGATATTTATGATTAACTGTGTAAAATGTATATGAGATACATGGAGTCAAAAAAGTGTAGTGTGGACTAGTCCACACCATGCTACAAAACGCCATTGTGGGTGCGAACTGGTCCAGTCCACACAGTTTGTCCACAGTTTAGAACAACTGTGGATTGTGGTGTGGTGTGGGTTGGTCTCTGCCACACTATAGAGCACCCCCTTAATGTTTATATTTTAAAATAATATTTTTTAATATTTTATCAATAAGAAAATATTTTTTTAATTTTAATTCTAGCATAAGCCCAACGATGCTCCTCCACTCCTTTTTATTTATTTAAATATTAATATTTAATGTTTTTATCAATAAAATAATATTTAAAATATTTTTTAGTTTTAATTATTTTACTATTGTTTTTATTAAAATTAATATTTATTGGTTAATATTAATTTATTGATGTATTTTTTCATTATATTTATCACATAAAATGCAAAAATTAGACATTTATGATTGAATATATGGATCATTCATAAAATGTATATGAGATACATTGAATCAAAAAGTGTGGTGTGGACTGGTCCCCACCACGCTTATAGAACAACACTGTGGGTGTGGACTAAGACTTGTTCATGGGCCGAGTCGGGCTTTTTATATGTATTAATAGAGTACACTCAGCCTCGAGCCCAAGCCTGGCCCAACCATCGGGTCTAAGTCTTGAGCTCGAGCCCGAGCCCGAGCCCAGCCAGAAGTTTGAAAACAAATTTTTTTCTGTTTTTATTCAATAAAAAAGTATTTTATTTATATTAAAAACCTTCAAAACTCAAAAATAATAATCATATCACTATTACTTGGAAAAAAAGGAGAAGAAGAACAAAGAAAAAATATTATATATATATTATTTTTATTAAATTTGTCTTATTGTAATGTGTTTCTTTTTACATTTATTTTCAGCTTGTTGTAATTCTTTTCTTTTCATGATAATGAAATTTGTCTTTTCTCAAAATTGTGTGGACCAGTTCTCCGGTGACTAATGAGGGAGTTTGTGAGGCTGAAAGCTTTCAGATTTGAGAGCATGTGGATGGGCCATCCTAATTTTTTGAAATTCATAAAGCAGAAATGGAATCATTATCAGGTGGGAAGGTTCTACAGGTTTCAAACTGATGAAGAAGTTCAAATTTTTAAAGGAGGATTTAAAGAAATGGAGCTCTCAAGTTTTCGGGAATGTTGAAAAAAGAGAAAAGGAGGTCCTAGACAGAATGGCTAGGTTGGATAGATTGGAGGAGGAAGAGAATTAGAAAAATTAAACTTTGGAAGTAGTTTTCATTTGATGCCTGACCACAAACCCAAAATTCTTTTTTTTGTCTTTTGTTAAACTTTGAAAGTGAATCATGTGAGACACTTCATGCAATGAGAAAAAGTTTAACAGAAAACATGGCTCTTTATAAAGCGAATGGGAGTGACAAATGTAATGAGACAAACTTCAAATAGTTAGAGTTAAGGCAGAGTCGAATTGACTTGAGTTTTAGAAAGCCAAAATCATGGTTTTCAAAACCGGACCGGACCGGATGGTCAGATCGGAAAAATCGGGACTGGTTAGGTGATCGGTTTCGTTTTCCTCAAAATCATTGATTTTGGTCAGCGAACCGCTGAACTGGGCGATTAATCGTTCGAACCATTTGAATGGTTTTGACTGTTTTTTATTTTTTTGAATTTTTTTTATTTTTTGCCAGAATGAGCCGAGCGTTTGATTCGAACGATCGAATCGTTTGACCCAATAACCAGACCCCTGACCGCTTCGGTCACCGGATCGGTTTTAAAAACCATGGCCAAAATGCCAAGGTAATCAGAAGTGAATGATTTACAATGTAACAGGAGCATATTGTAACACTACTATTTTTCTTCTCATGTACAATATCTAAATCCATGGTAGAAGACCAAGTATTAAGGATGACATCTAGTATCAAACCTCATACTTCAAGTACCCCTCAAGAACATCGAGAAGTAAATGGCCACTCTCTCCATTCCTGTTAAAATCATATCCATTCTTTGCTACAAAAGTCCTTCAACTCAGCTTTCCAAAAATCCTTTTGCTGCAAGAAACAAAGAAAAAAGAATGTATAAACAAAATATAAAATGTCACATAACAATAACACGCCATCTCATGAGTTTTAAATTCAAGTTTGCTGCAGAAATGGCCAACCTGTGAACATTTTCTGTAATTTCTTAATTCAGTTACTGAAAAATGAAGCCTTTAGCTAGTGAATACACAAACTGTTTACCTCATTGGATCCATGGATTCAGCAAGCCTTGTACACCTGGAAATCTTCTTGCCTCTGTTTGATTCCCATCCCACGGCATTAGGTATAGACTGATGGTCTCTCCAACCTAAACAAATAATCCACGAATTGAAGAGTGTAGGTGATATAAGCCAATTCAAACTACACAGAAAGAGAAAATTCATTAGAAGAGAGCCATTACCCATTTTCTGCTGATCTACCTTGTGGAACTGAAAGCAAAACTTCACCGACAAGGGAGATGGCATGGGTCATAGAAACCAAAAAGAATCTGGAGGCAGCCAAGTACCAATTTACATTTCACAGTAATCTTAGACAAACCTTATAAAGACAAATTTATGGTTGCATATAACTTTGCAAGATGGGCTATTTAAATATTATTCAATATCATGAATAGTTAACATACAAATTCCAGAGAACTCTGATGGTTTCATGGACAAACCTTTTGGCCATCACCCTTGCAGGCTTCCCAATCTTTTAATGGCCTAACTGTGGCAAGTGAATTTGAAGATATAGTAACTAGAAAGAATGGTACATCTGCAGTAAAATTAGTGAGTTAACCTCCTGGAAAGAAATAGCAGAGCTAAACATTATATTGAATTAACAAAGCAGAAATAACACAACAAGCAGATCAACCTGCTGTTAGACTCGATGTACGCCATGCATTACAGACATCAAAAAGGATAAAAAAAAACAACTAAAATGACTAACTGAACCAAATCATAGAAAATATTTATCCTCTTTGGCACCTCCTCTAAACTGAAATACTGCGAAGCTGGCTGCAAATCAATCAATGTTGCTGGAGGATCAAGCACCGGGGCAGGAAAGGCAAACCAGTAATGGAATCAGCAAATGAGATGATAAGGAATCTGGATAGCACTGCACCATCCTCCTCTGCTTTTCCAGAACAGAAGTCATCCCAAATCTGATGATGAAGAAGTATTACCATTTGGGTGTTGGATTTCTAAATACATTTTGGTTGGTGAATTTTTCTTCAGTTACATTATTAAGTGATGTTGTAGTACTACATCACAAGATTGTTTGCAGAAGGCAGGCATTGCATGAAGGTTATCAATTCATACTTCCAAATAGAAATGCATAGAAATAAATAAAAACCTATACTGGAAGAGGGGTACCTTCTTTTATTTTTGTTTAAGTACTAATTGTAAGTGTGGCAGTTTAGTTTGCATAAATCGTTAGATGCCATGCTTATCTTGCAAAAATTTTTCTTATCAATTGTTTATTATTTTTAATATTTTTATCAATAAAATATTAATTATTTTATTTATTTTTTTAATTTTAATATTTTTTAAATATTTAATATTTTTTTAATTTTTTAAATTAATTTACTATTGTTTTATAAAAAATTAATATTTATTGATTAATATTAATTCATAGATACATTTTTTAAAATATTTATCATATAAAATGCAAAAATTAGATATTTATAATTAACCATGTATATCATTCATAAAATATACATGAGATACATAAAATAAAAAAAGAGCACTACCTAAGGATGTGGTGTCACCAATTTTTAGTCATAGTACACCCCCAAGTCATTTGATTGTAAGTTGAAACTATTGGGATTTTGTTCTGCATTCACATTGTAGACTATACACTCGATTTGCTTGCCGTTTGTGCCATTGACTTTACTTTTGACTTTAAGAGGGCCCTTCAATGCAGCCTTTCTTTACATTCACAAAAGGCTGGTATTGGCCGCCGAGGCCCGGACGGATATATTCCGCTGCATAATCTTACCCCGTGACACTGGCAGTCCGCGCCTAGAGTGAAGTAGTGAGCCTGTAGAGTGTGGACTCAACTTTTCAGAGAGAGAGAGATGGAGAAGTATTTTGGTAATCCATATCGTGGTGACCCGGGCGTTCCGCACACTGATCCTGAACGATTCGTGAACATATGGATTGGTTCGTTCGTGTTCTCTGCGATAACCTGGTTCCATCCATACATGTGGCAACTCTCAAATCAATACAAGTAAGCTCTTTTTTTTTTGTTTATTTTTTTCGCGATAATCTGGTTAGGGCTTTCCTTTTGGTGTTTATCTGAATCTTTATCAGGGTTTATTTGTTTGGTCGTGCTCTTTTCTAGGGTTTCATGTTGCCATAATCACGGCTCGTTTTGTTAAACTCTGAGGTTCTCACTTCTTCTGTTTCAAAAATTTGTAGGTTTTTTAAGTTCTTCTATACGCGTTTGAAATTTTATGTACATTGCTTCCCGATTCATTCTAGGCTCTGTTTATCGCTTAAAACAATCTTAATACGGAATTTTAAAGTCTGTAATATCATTTATTATCTTCTGTTTTTATTAGTAAGCGTTATTTCTCATAGTTCATATTTATCATATTATAATGATGCTACATCGTTCGCCTTCCCTTTCAAATAATTGTGTTCAGGTTGATACTGTTATTGGTGGATATTGATTGTTATAAGCATTTAGAAGTGTCATGAGCATACTGTATGAGTGCATGGTATAAAAAGTTCCAGGAAATTTGTGTTATTGTATAACTATCTTTTAAGGGTAATGGTTATGGTGCTTCCTGGTGAATGAAACTATTACTGCTTGTATAATTAGATAGTGAATGATGTTAAGTTTAAACTGTGGTTTCGAAATAGTGCAGCAATTGTAATTCATAGACGTTAGGGGCATTTGGCCATTAGGACGCAAACTCCCCTTCTGCACTTCGAAATTCAGTTCACAACTTCACATTCATTATAAAAAATGTATGCATATGAACCGATACTACTTCATTAATCCTTCAGTAACTTCTTAGCTGGCCCCTCTTTTGCTGATTCCTGTCTGTGGTGGTGGCTTTGAGATGCTTATTGTCCCCTCAGAAGTTCTGTTCTTCATGTAGACTGCCATACTTAATAAGAGGAGAGAGAGTCCTTGATTTTCTGCCCTAGCGTTCCTTCTTGTATTGAGTGTGATCTCACTTTATCTCCCTTTCTGCTTTAACTAGGTTCTTCCTAGAGATTTATCCATGCTGATCTCCCATTGGCCTTCTTGGGGCTTTGGTTCCTGTGACACCATCTCATAGGAACCTGCTGCTTTTTGTTCTTTGTTGTGGTCTGTGGGAAGTATGGAACAATTGCATCTTTGAGAATAAAAACTTTGAACAATTGCATCTCATAAGCTTTGATCTTTTGGTCGTATATCCTGAAGGCTCTTGAAGGGCTGAAAATGTAATCATTATAAGCAATAGTGGGTGCACCTAATTTTTTTTCCTCATTAACCACAGAAAGAACTTGTTTTTTTTTTTTCATTTGGGGGCGGGGTCCTTTTTGCATATAGTAACAAAATTCGCTTAGGCTCTCTATGTTTCAATATAAAAGGGATGGAATATTTTCTGACTTAAGTATTTCAGCTATATTTTTGCCCCTTTTAGGATGGAAACTTTGTTTTCCTGGCATTTACACCAAAGGAAATTAAAAGAGGCAAAACACAGTTTTTGCCTTAAAAAAGGGTTAAGAAGTTGAAACAAACAGTCTTGCCACTTTCCAGAAAGAAAGGGAAAACTCATGCATGTAATCTTTGTTTCATTTTGTTCTATTTACAATCCAATACATTTATGAAATGATTTAGTGTTTTGGTGCAAATTGGAATTTCCAAACAAATAAGGGGAAGGCGAACATGTTCAACTCAGGAAGTACGAAATTATTTACTAGTTCACTATTTAATAAAAGGTATGATCTTATCAAGCTGGATGAGTATTCATAGTTGTCAAGGTGACACCTAGGCGGCAAGGTGCCTTTGGAGGCTTGCCTCGCCTAATTGCCAAGCAGTTTTGTACGTTGTGTTGTAAAATACTTTTATATTCTTAAATTTTTGGGATTATAATTATAAAATAAACATTATTAAACTAAAATATTCATTTTTTGTGTTTATATACTAATTTCTTTTTATTATTTTTGTATTTGTTAGAGTTTAATCAACAGACATTGCTAAATGTTGTATTGAACCCTCAAAGACTTCAAAACCTGGACCAATAAGGAAGAACTTAAAATTGTCTAATCGACACGTTTTCTTCTTCCGCCTTTTCTTTCCTTCTTTTCCTATAACAAAAATAGGGTTCAGCCCCTATATTTTTTGAATTTTCTTTTATTTCTTCTTTTTCTTCTCATGAATATGTTGATTTTCTATACTTTAACATGAATTTTATACTTTTTTATGAAAATTATGGGTAATTATTTAGGAAATATGGCTATAGAACCTAGGGAACTACCTTAGGTTATATGTTTATTACTTAAAAAATCCATGGCCTAGGCGACAAGGGCAGCCCCTGTCGCCTAGCCTCACCTTGGTGCCTTGGAAACTATGGTAAGGTTCATGTATCTGACTCTCTCCCCACATGGTTAAGACATGATGATGCTTGTTTAGTAAATAGGCACTGTTTAATCATATAAATCACAGAGGCACTGATGCAAAGAATTTTTCAAGTGGCAATTTGTATTTGGTAAAGCCATCAATGGGGGCCAATCCCTGATCAGTGTTGCTGAAGCACTTGTAGCAGGGGGTGCAATTAAAGAAGCAGCTGATTGAGGCATAAGTCATCTATGGCTGGAAGAAGTCAAGAGGATTAATGCCTTAATTGGGGTTTAGATGGACACTTCTGCAGGAGATCCCAACACTGTTTGAGACATCTTGCTTCTCTCCTTGAACTATGATTGTATGATTATATTCAGATGTCTGAGAGCAGCAGTTCTGTGGTTGATTTGGAAGTAAATAGCTGCCAGAGCCTTCACTAAGAGGAGGACCTCTTGAAGAGGTTTTGATAGAACTCTTTGGGTGGTCCAACAGGTTTGCACAATAGATGAGTCCAATGACTGTAGTTTTGATGAAACTGTGAAAGGATTGGTTCATGTTGTTTCCATACATCTATCCAGAGGGATCCCTCATCAGACTTAGGCTCCACCTTCCTGGGGCTCCATGTAAATGAATTTTGATAGGTATTCATTGGGAAACCCAGGACCATCAGTGATTGTAAGTGTTTTCACTCTTTGGGAGTCGGGGGGGTGCCTGATATGGACCAGTAGTTGGGTGATTCCATTTGGGCCTAGATACAATCTCTCTTTGGTTTGTTTCATCCGTAAGATCTTAAGAGCTCACTGGATAAAACAAATTATAGGAAACTAGGTTAGAGTTTTTTGGATGTACATGTGTGTAGTTAGAGAAACAATTTATGAATTTAATTTTGTTTTTATGAACATATGGCCTAGACTTGTCTACATTCTCTTCAATTTTTTTTTCTGGTCAAATCAGCTTTTATTTTCAATGACAAATTCCTTATATTAGAATCTTACAATAATCTCTTGGATGGATATGAAGTTAAGATAGTTTGTGGTGAGAGGGCTTGTTTCTTCTGTCGTTGTATGCATTTCCATGAATGTTTTGAAACAGGAGCTATAGGTATATTGTAAAACTTCTAGTTATAGTAAATGGCACAATCAAGTTCAAGCCTTCAAGGATATGGGCGCAAGTATACAATGTACCAATATCTTATTAGAAGTAGGCTACTTTGTTCATCTTTCCTTTCCGCCTTAATGAAATACTTCCATATGCAGCTGGCATGATCGGGCAATGCTATTTGAGCAGTACCACTGGAAGAAAGCACTGAAGAAGAGGCAGCCATATAAATTCAAGGTGAGAGCTCAATTTCTTGTAACTGATAAGTCTTCATTCTCTATTTTAACAATATTTTTGCATGAAGGTTCTTATCAATTTTAGTATCTGTTTCTTGCTTCTTTTTTTCTGCTTGTATTTTTGTTTGTGTATCTTAGAGTGAGGAAATCCATTTTTTCTTATTTCATTGTGAGATCAAAGTTCTACATTCCCAAATGTTAAAGGCTATGCCATCAAGGTAGGCATAGTGTCTGTTTGCAGTCAGTTTTTAAATTTCTTTATTCTTTACGGGCAGATAGTATGTATGCCCATAGAAATGTGAAAAAGCAAATTGGAAGCATAATGCTGGGAAGCTATATTGATGCCATTGTCCCTTGCCAGCTTCTCCGATTTGGGCTGCTAATTGATGGATGCCTACCTTATACTCGTTTTTGCCAATACCAGAGTGTCATCTCTAAAAACAAGTTTAACTATGCCTCCAAAAAAAAAAAGAAATATTGGAATTGGCAGCTCATAGATGGTTATTTCTGTTCTCTTGAATGGTATTTATGTGTTCTTTTTGTGCAGTGGAACCAGTACATGAACAAGGACCTTCGGGATTCATACTATTTCAACTGGCCAGTGTACTTTCCCTAGAACATGTCCCATATGTGCCTAGGTGTGGTAGCTTTACTAATGCAGATTCTGTTCTTCTTTTCCTTTTTTTTTTCCAGTCCATATGTCGAAGGAGTGAATCATCCTAAAAAGGGATTGTTTACCTTATTCTGTGGTTCTAGATCTTTAAAGCAGCAGGTTTTCTGTTCTAGCTAGTCTCCTTGTGTTGTGATGCCTTTGGACGAAATAATTTTGTTGCCTCCAATCAGCTGTCCTGTTGAAGTATTTAGTATGCCCTCCGGGCACTTAAGAGCTTGTCTATTTTTAGAAGATCGTTGGTACCAGTAATGGCTTCATGATTTGGTAAAAGAAACTCACCATCATAGAGGTTGTAAGAAATACACGAGAAAGCTCTATATTCATGGTAACTTGGTCAATTTACCCATTAACATCAGTCTTCTTAAAGGCTGATAAAAAAAAAAACATCAGTCTTCTTAAAGAGCTGCTTCATCTCCGCATTTGAAAGTTGAACTATAAAATGAAAGTAGGCTTTTGCAGTACAAGAATACTGGATTGGCTAAGGAGGTGTGGATCCATTAATGATCCAATTATATATTTTTTTATCAATGATATTCGATCCAGTTATAAATGGATTGAATTTGGATTACTCTTAATCAGAACGAATTCAGACAAATGAGTACCATTTGCAGCCTATTCCATACCACCCAACTAATAAAGCCCATTCCCAAATAGAAAAACACTGAAATTTAAACTTTTATTAAAGTCGAACGTTGAATAAAGGATGTGTTTGTTGCATATCCATTAAGTTCATACTCAAATGCAAGGTTCAAAATATCGATATGCCCAATATGCCGGTATGGGCATATCGGGCGAATTGATACAGCTTTTGGTGCTTTTTCTTTTAATGCAACTGGTTCAGGGGAACCGGCTTAGGCCTCCTTCACACCCTGAACCGGTCACACCCCTGATACATTCACTGTAGGGGTGTATCGTAGGGGTTCCAAAATGATATGTATTGGCCGATACGTGTCGATACTTTGAACCTTGCTCAAATCTGAAGTGCTTGGGAGATGAATTGTATGTTCCCATCTGTTCTATTAGGGAACGCTTTCCAGAAGCTTTAATGGGGAGCCATGTAGATGGCTGAGGAATGGTCGAGGTGGTTTTCGGTGACTTATCCTAAAGGCTAAAGAAGTTCATCAAAGCTTCAGCCCTTCCAAACAAGCTCTCAATTTGGTTTTTCTAGATTTTTCATCAAATATTATTTGTAGACCTCATCTCACAAGGCTTGCTTAATTTTGGTTCAGCCCCCTCAGCAAAAGTTTGTATTGCCACATAAAATGACTAACCATAACCAAAATTTGACTCTGAATGTCTTTTTTTCTTTTGCCAGTTATATTGCTTATAGGCTTTCTAGACAAGCCACAAGCCCCACCCCCACCTCACAATCAAAAATTACAACATGAAAGCCCTCCGTTCCAAACGGGCACTTAAAGTTGATGTCCCCCGACTGGACTCATTGTTGATGTGGGACTGTGGATTCTACTAACCTTTTCTTTTTCTGGTAAGAGTGGACTGAAGCGAAATCTGCTATGTCCATGGCATAGTTTTGGGCTAAAAGCCTAAAACCTTAAATCATGGGCTTTGGATGTATTTTGGGGCCATTTTTATTCTTTAGTCATTTCATCCAATTCAAGGTACTACATCGAGGGATGTGATTTACAGCTTTAGCCGATTATGCCAAGGCTAGGCCACCGCCCACTGGACTAGTTTAACTAAAAAATTACTGAATTGGTCGTAGTTTCCTAAAACCCCCTGGATCTCAAATGTGTGGAATTTTTAAAATACAAATGGCAAGATTCAAACCCATTAGCCTTTTTTTCACGTATATCGTGTTGTTACCATTAATCCACCTCGTTTTTTGTATCCATAATCTTTAACGTACACATTGCATTATTTAACGTGTATTTCAAAGAAAATGTGAATTGGGACTTTGGGAGGTCTGAATTTTGTCATAATTTAAAAATTAAAGAACTAACCATCTATCAAGTATAACATTACTCTTTGTAATATATTATTTCTAGTATTTAGGTGGCTTGTCTTATATCATCACGGTTTTACCTCTAGTTGTTAGATAGTACATGCTCTTAACTTCAATCGAACTGATGCACATGAACATTTATTTGTAAATGAATAAAGTACATTGTTTCATGTTTGATATTAATATGTTTTTTATGCATTACCCTTTAAACTGAATACTTATAAGAATCACGTTAGTTTAAAATGTTCCCAACCATTGAATAGACTTGGCAAGTTTATCCTATCAAGGTTGACACTAGTGTGCTGTCATACAGTTGGAACAACTTGTCTTAGCTATTAGGGTTAGACCTCAAGCACAGGTAGTGTGTGTTTGGAAAAAACAATAAACCTGAACCAACTTCCAATTATGCCATGAATTTTGGAGATAGATGGGCAAAACTAGAAAGTTACACATAACCCTACAATTGATTATGGTACTGCACTAGGTGTTGGACCGGGTTGCCTTTGATGTGCCAATAAGTGAGATCTATCAAGGATCAACACCTAAGCATGTTGGGGCAGTTTGGGAATTCACTTAAGTGGGTGATCATAATGATAGGATATGTCCGTTTGTCGGACAAAGCAAATATCAAGGTTTACATTCTCTGATGGAAACCTAAATTGTTAGCAATGGATTTCAAATGTATTTGAAATCTATTTTTGCAAAATGTATTTATATATAATATACTGTTATTTTATGAAAAATGTTGCAAAATGTTTTAATCCCGGGATCCATTTGAGCAGAGAGTGTGGCACTGCAACTTGCAGCCAGGGGAGAGGTCATTTCCTATCAGGCAGTGTTTTAATCATTATGAGTCGAGAAGTTAAGTGTAAGAAATCATTACAGGGATGATTACCTGATAAACTTTATCTCACTTAAGTCCATTATCCATAGGTCTTCATAGGGTGGTTGAATCCAATAATCATTTAGGTGTAAATGTTGGGCCCATGCTGATTGGCTTAAGGGTTCACTACTCTGAATAGTGAACTTGGCCTAGCCTATTATAGAGGTGGGGCCGGACCCTTATGGACTTAAGAGAGACCTTTGCGAAATCCCACTCCATACAATATCAGGCCTAAACTGGCCATGCAACACCTAGGGTCATGAACCTTTGAAGAAAATGAGTCAAATGCCCAATATTAATAAGATGAACTAAGGTATCATATGTAGACCTAGCAAAAAGTTGACCCAGCTCGTGAACCTAACCCAACCCAACCCGAAAAAACAGGGTTAGGGTCTCATATTTAGTTACCTGAATGTGCAAATGACCCAACCCAAAAAAATGGGTTGGGTTGGATTGGGTCATGAGTCAACCCATTGACCCAATTGTCAAGTCTAATTTGAACTATTTATGCGTTGTTAGAAGTCTCCACTCTTAATTTTTTTTCTATTTAGTCTCTACGCTTTATTGTTTACTCTTTAAATTGTTAAATGTGCAAGTTTTTTTATTTTATATTTTGAATTTTAAGGTTAATTCCTTTAGTTTTTGCATTTTCATGTAGTTTTTCTTTATCTTTTTTTTTTAATTTCATTTATTTTTTAGGATGACCCGAATTGACCCATGGGTCAAACCTAACTCAAACATTTAGGATTAGGATCTAGCATTTGATAACCCAACCCAAAATTCAATCTGACCCAAAATCAACCCAAAGTGTCTTGACCCAACCCAAACCCGACTCACCCAACCCAATTGTCATGTGATTTGGGTCAAATATGGGTTTGGTATTGGGTATGGAGCACCTATTCTCTTAAGAGGATAAGGCTTATATCTTAATAGAGTTCATATTCAAATCAGATTTGGATAATCTCCTAATTAGATTAGGAGAGTGCTTCATAAGAAAATAAAAGAAGAGGGCGAATTAGACTTAAACACCTCTCTCTCTCTCTCTCTTGTTCTCTCTTGTCTCCCAAGAACCCTAGAACAACCTACGCTTTCAAGAACTGATTTTAATCAATTTTCTTCTTTGTTTTTGCAAGAAAAATTCAGAAGAATTTCAAACTCAATTACCCCACTTGATCCAAACAAGTTGGATAGCAGATTTGCTGAAAACAAGTGTTGTTGAATCGGTTCTCTATACACTGTGCCATCTTTAGTTAGAGAAAAATTTTCGGACTGATATTGGATGTGAACTACCACCTTGGGAGTTGCGATTTGTGGTCTCCGTATCAAGTATAATCTCTCTTCTTTTGGTTTCAAATCTGGTCCGATAAAATGTAAGAAGGATCCTAAAATTATAGATTTCAATTTATCAGGAAATCATTTCCTGAGAAAGTTAGAAAAATTTTGAAATTTCGGCAAACCATCTTGCATGTTTCGACCATCCACTTGATGGATTCTAACCCTATTCCAACACTATGAACTTCTCCCCTTTCTGGTTTTATGTCTAGTTTTGTTCTTTAAGCATTGGTGTAGATACAACCAAAATGTTGCTGGTTTTCAAGTTGAACAATTCAACCATCTAAGTCAACAACCATTTGAAAACATTGACTATAGTAGGATTTTGTAATATAACTAGTGTGGACCCRTATGATGCATGTGATTTGCCAAAGGAGAAGTAAAATGATAGAAACTAATAACTATTATAAGAAAGGAATGCAATGTTGTTTAAAATAATTAATCTTTATTTTAGTAATTTGTTACAAAAATAGTTTAGTAATTTGTGTTAATTATATTAATAATTTTTAACAAAAAATAATAAATTACTAATTACTTAATAAACTAATTATTTTTCCATATTATCTCTTGGCATTCTTCTTTATTTTTTTATTTTACTTAATAATGATTAAATTTTATTTTTTTGTAAATATTACTTAAAGATTAGTAAATATATAAAACTAGGTTGTAGCCATAATCAAATTAATATAAGCTTGAGCTCGAAGTTTAAGACCTTGGGTTAGGCTTTGGTTGATCCTCAACTTGACCCTTCCCCTAACTTGCACCCCTAAGAGCAATGTGATATTTGTAATTAGTCTGAACCAAACTAAGCACAACCTATGCATGCATCATTTTTGGGTTTTTAACTATTTTAGATAAAAAATATTAATATTAAAGCTAAAGGAGCTATGGGGGATGGGATACCCCCATTGTGTAGCCTACTAAACTAATAAATAAATAAAAGAGCTTGGGCTAGATTTTGATAGTGTATTAACAATTTTTAAGGAGCTTGGCCCAACCGAGCTTACACCCCAAGCATAAAAATATTTGTTATCTAAATATATATATGTGTGT